AGAGAGAGAGAGAGAGATAGAGAGAGAGAGAGAGAGAGAGAGAAAACGGAGATCAAATATGCAGTAATTATCATTAACAGAATTTTAAATGACCAACAAATCTCATGTTACAAATTGGTGCTATCGGGTGAACTTGCAGATGTATTATAAATAACATCATTTCTGGAACCATAATTTTGTTCGTGTTAAATGCGTGGTTGTTGTTGTTGTTTGTTGTTGTTAGAAACGTTTCACTGTAATAATATTTTACAATGACAGACAATAACCCCCCCCCCACCCCCTTCCCCACCTCTTAAAAAAAAAAAAATCCCACACCATACAAGTTGTAAACACAGACAGTAACGGCATTTTCTTCGTTTAGCAAACTGAAGGTAGAAGACACTTTCTCAAATGAAATTGTATTCAACTTATATGCTTTTTCCATTTTCTCCTTTTGTGACTCAAACAAAAGCTACTCCAGTGCCAAAAAAAAAAAAAAATCGTGTCATAGAAAAGTAGTGCATAGTGCAGGCCGTGTGAGATAAGAATTTCGCAGTTGTAAATCAGATGTGTCTTTCACATTAAAGGTAAGAATGACTTTGCTGAGCTTAAAGATACCTTGTATCAAATGTTCTGTGTTAAAGTGTTTTTAACGTTACTGGGACATGGCCCAGTAAGGAGAAGAACAGATCCACTGCCTCTCTAACAATCATGTCGTAGAAGTCTACCAGTAATGGGTGTTTCCTTCGAAGTCAGAGAGCATCTGACTGAGAGGTGAGCAATCAACTTTATGCAAACAATTAAGCTAGAACTGCACAACGAATATACCCGCAGAAGCCAAGTCCTATATAAAGACCAAAGTACAGAAGAGGACGAACAACCAGAACTTTCTGCAGGAGTTTACAGCAATTGAACATGCCAAGAGGTGTTCTTTATGTTTGTATCCGCACCCTTCTGTGCAAAGAAATGTTGGTAAATCTGGAACTAGGGCTTCATTGATAAGTAAAGTAAAAGTAAAAATCCATTTTCACGCCTTAAAGCGCATTGGGCATATGGGGAGAGCACCCATATTTTTACAAACCAAACAGCTTTAGGTGGGTAATGTGGTCAGCGTCTTTATTTCCCCAGGACATGCATCCTAGTACCAATTTTAGGCTGGGTCGACCTGCAACGCCCCATAGCATGATAAAAATCCACACAGAAGGCAGTGGGTTTCGATCGTGGTACGTTGGAATTACGAGTCGGACTCGCAACGCCTAAGCCACAGACGCCGATATGTTTTCATTGGTGTATTTTAATTTAATGTTTACCAATGATCGGAAATTTGGAACAGGAGATTGAGTTGAGTTGAGTCAAGAATTGACATCACAGAACTCGGGGCATTTTCATGTGTGCTCCGTCCTCATCTTCAGCAGCTAGCACAGAGTTTCAATACTGATAGTACCGGTCACAATCTAGTTATATGTCCGTCCTGCCTTTCCTCTGAGTGTAGTGAGCCGGCCGGACCCTCTGGTTACACTCAGGATCCTCATACTTTTCAGGCCATAATATTCTTGTCTCTCTACTGATTCCGTTGCGTGTTCCCAAAGGGCGTTGACTATATCTGTCTTGTCATGTATCAATTCACCACCCAGTGATTCAGATCCAGCCAATCTGTCTGCAGGTTTATTGCATACTACCCCAGCATGCCTGGAGAAAAGATCCACAATATGCTCACTACCCTTGACCTTTCCAGTGAAGCTTGCCACTCTGCTCAAAGCATCACTGTCTCCACTTTTCTCAGCATGTCCTGGAACCGGAGATTGTGCCGCAAGTATTCGTCGTCCTAATAAACGTAAACCATGAGGGAAACAGAGAGGGAAACAGAGAGGGAACAGAAGGGAACAGAGAGAGAAACGGAGAGGGGACAGATAGGGAACAGAGAGGGAAACAGAGAGGAACAGAAGGGAACAGAGAGAGAAACGGAGAGGGGACAGATAGGGAACAGAGAGGGAAACAGAGAGGGAACAGAAGGGAACAGAGAGAGAAACGGAGAGGGGACAGATAGGGAACAGAGAGGGAAACAGAGAGGGAACAGAAGGGAACAGAGAGGGAAACGGAGAGGGGACAGATAGGGAACAGAGAGGGAAACAGAGAGAGAAACGGAGAGGGGACAGATAGGGAACAGAGAGAGAAACGGAGAGGGAAACAGAGAGGGAAACAGAGAGGGAAACAGAGAGGGAAACAGAGAGGGAAACAGAGAGGGAAACAGAAGGGAACAGAGAGAGAAACAGAGAGGGAAACAGAGAGGGAAACAGAGAGGGAAACAGAGAGGGAAACAGAGAGGGAAACAGAGAGGGAAACAGAGAGGGAAACAGAGAGGGAAACAGAGAGGGAAACTGAGATGGAAACAAAAGGGAACAGAGAGAGAAACAGAGAGGGAAACAGAGAGGGAAACAGAGAGGGAAACAGAGAGGGAAACAGAGAGCGAAACAGAGAGGGAAACTGAGAGGGAAACAGAAGGGAACAGAGAGAGAAACAGAGAGGGAAACAGAGAGGGAAACAGAGAGGGAAACAAAGAGGGAGACAGAGAGGGAAACAAATAAGGAAACAGAGATGAAAACAGAGAGGGAAACGGAGAGGGAAAAAGAGAGGGAAACGGAGAAGGAAACAGAGAGGGAAACAGACAGGGAAACAGAGATGGAAACAGAGAGAAACAACAATCGACGATTAGGACCTATACCCAGAAACGATAAGTAACCCGTTCTATACACATGAAAAAGGACGGGTGGCGTGGCAAGGCATATGGTGCTGGAACTAGACTAGTATAATCATCATCATGTAGCAGGTCCTTTGCAGATCATTGCTCTCATCACGGTCTGCCTGGAAGAAACTTGGTCTCTCGCCAGTTCTCCCGTCTCATGCACTTTCATATCAAGGAGTCACTTATAACCTTTGCCCATCTTCGTGTCGGTCAGCCCCTGCCCCTCCTTCCTGGTAAAATGCCTACTGCTATAATTTTTTCCAATCCGTTGTTGCGCTTGATATGCCCAAAATATTTCATCTTCCAAGACAGGATGCTGTTTATTAATTAATCTTCCTTGATGTTCAGATCTTTCAAGATGTCAGTATTTATCCTCTGTTTCGTCCAAGAAATTATGAGAATCTTTCTATAGCATTTCAGCTCAAAAGCCCCTATTCTCTTTCTCAAGGACTGGGAGATAGTCCACCACTCACGTCCGTATGTGCTACAGGGAAGATGCATGCTCTCAAAATTCTAATTTTTATCTCCTTGCTTTTGCTTAACCATAGACTGTTTAGGCTGTTTAATCTTTGCATTGCTATAGCCATCCTCCTTTTAATTTCCATCAAACAGTCGTCCATTGCCATTTATTATAGAGCCTAGATATTCAAAGTTTGTGACGTTTTCAATTTCTTCACCATTTATTGTTATTTTTGGGTGACAGCCTGATTTATCTGTGGACATTATTTTCGTTTTCTTTAAATTCAAGAACAGATTGTAATCTTCACTGTGCTTTTGGACATGCAATATTAAATTTTGTATTCCCTTTACGCTGTTCGAAAGTAGGACTGTTTCATTTGCCTAGCGAAGTCTGGTAATTTTTGACATTTCTCATTATATTTTCTGCGTATATATTGAATAGGTATGGTGAGAGAATGCACCCCTGCCTCACTTCCATTTGCACCTCGAACCAATCATATGTTTCACCAGCTGCTCTGATGGCTGCTTGTTGTTAATGATAAAGATTTTCAATTAAATGCACTAAATGCGCTGGAAACCCCATAATTCTCATACTAGTCTACAGTTTCTAATGTTGGACATAATCAAATGCCTTACTATAATTAATGAAACAAGCAAGAAGATCTAAGTGGAATTCTCTACATTTTTCAAAAATTATTCTCATATTAAAGATGTGATCCCTAGTTCCTCTATCCTGTCTGAAACCCGCTTGTGCTTCATCTAGCTCATATTGTAATTTCTTTTTAATCGTCTTCATAATAATTTCTTAGAAGATTTTGCTAGCATGACTTATTATTGCAATAGTACGGTAGCTGGAGCATAGTTTCAGATTTCCTTTCTGTGGAAGAGGGATATAGACTGTTCTTTTCCACGATTTAGGCCAAATGCCACTGTTCCAGATCTTCGAGCACAGTGCATGGTAAATTCGGACGCTGACGTCTCCTCCTGCTTGAATTAGTATCAACTAATTGTTATTCAGTGGCTAATGCGACTGGCCTCCTTTACTTCCCGAATAATTTCCTGATACCCATTTTAGGTTAAGCTGATGTGAGATCACACGTTTTTAACTTCTTTAGCACCAAACAACTGACAGAGCACTCTGAGAATGGTGGAGGTAGGTATGCCTCGTGCACAAATCGTTTTAGAAGTCCAGGGTATAGTTGGCAGCCTTTGGATATTTTCTCTAAGAGATGCCGGTGTGTTGGGAAATGAACAGGGGGCCAGACTGGCTGGCTCTGCACAACTTAGTGGAATACTGATACATGATAAGGTAGACGTGGTTAGTGCCTTGTGGGAGAGCGTGTACAATTCGGAGGACAGATGCATCACCACAGTCTGGTGAGATTGATGCAGTTGGGGGTGACGAGAGGTTCTGGCAGATGCTCGAGGCTCAGAGGAAAGGCAAGACGGACGTTTAATCAGAATGCTACTGGCACCATTAGTAACGGAACTCTTCTCCGGCTGCTGAAGATGGGGACGGAGCGCTTATGGGAATGCCCCGAGTGCTGTGATGTCAGTTCTTGAATCAAATCAAATCAAATCAAATCTAACAGATGCAGGTGTGTTGGGAAATGAACGAAGGAATTACCACTTTATCTGATAACACCTGGTGCAATGAGGTCTATGCTCTCGATTTTATTATTGTTAGTATTATTAATGTTATTATTATCAATAATCGGTTTTTGTTTGCCACATAAGTCTTTCTGAGTGTATATACTAATCTATATAGCCTCTATTATTAAATGTGAATTTTACTTACGTTTGTTAGTACAGGCTGGTCATGCTGCTGAAAGTTTGCGTAACACTTCTTTGCGGCTTCCTTTTCGCCTCAGCCTCTGCTACTGAATATGAATGCCCATATAAGGTTTGTAAGTTTATAATTGGTTGGTACAGTAACATTACAGAAACTTGGACACTGAACAAATTACTATAAAAAAGAACCGAGTATCTCAAGATGTTAACATTTAGAAGAATAAGTTTTATTTTACGATAACAAAAACAAATTCAGAGATCGTGAAGAGACTTGGAATGACAAAAGAGTTGCCGAAGAAAATAAACAAGAGTAAATTGGTTGGGCCCATTGAAAGTACATCAGTATTTTTTTTTTCTGCTCAATATTATACTGATGAATAAGCTGATAGTCTAAATATGTAGGCTATAGTGGAAAACGATTGTGCAATGGCGGGAATTATATACGAAATGCCATTTTCGAGGCAATGAGATTGTATAAATCAACTGGCCTATGTGAACAGGCAATCATGATCAGACAGAACGATTCAGAAATTAAACAAACAGGCAACCTCAATTAAACTGAACGATTCGGAAATTAAACAAACAGGCAACCTCAATTAAAATGAACGATTCGGAAATAAAACGAATAGGCAACCTAGATCAGGCTGAAAGATTCGGAAATTGAACAAATGGGCAGCCTTGATAAGACGGAATGATTCGGAAATTAAACGAGAACGAAGCAATATAGCAGGGTAATAAAGAAAAAGAGTTGGGGATGTTAGGAGAACGGATATTAAAAGAAAGCAGTACTCGTATTTTCAATCCTTCAAGACTAGCTAGCTGTCAATGAATAGGGCACTTAAACAGCAACAAATAATTACATGTGAAATGCGTCCACGATATCACAAATATCACGAGAAGAGACAGGGTTGCGAATACCAGCATTAGAGAGGACGCTGGAATAAGACCATGTTTGGATTGTTTTAAAGACAATTAGTGAAGTGGTTCGGCCAGCTAGTGAGAATGCAGCCAGACCAAACTGCATATGCGACTTTTTATAGCAGAACATCCAGGAGGAAGGCGAAGGGAAGACCAAGAAGAATATGGATAAATGGTGTAAGCAAAATCTGCAAAACGATGAACATATCCATCACCCAAGCCACCTGAAAAGCACAAGATAAATACATAGAACCACGACACTGGGCTACAACCTGGTATCAGTGAGACGACAAACAAACAAACAAACAAACAAAAAAAAACACCCAAAGAAGACACCTAGTCATATACTGAAAAATGGACGTACTCAATTAAGTGTACATTTCAACAAGCAAACATTGAGACATGGACTGAAACTTTGATCTATATAAGGAATCAGACTTGTCGTTTTCTTCTCTTTCAGGCATGTTACTGTGAAGGCAACACTATCATGTGCACTGACATGGGATTAAATTCCACGCCAAAAATCATCAATAATTATACGCCGCAGATTACAACCCTATATCTTGATGTAAGTTTGCATTGTTGTACGTTTTGAATGATCGTTAACATAAATTGAAGTGCGGTGCGTAAGTCAAGTTTTCAAGCTTAAAAACAGATTTTTCAAAAACGTACAGTAGCTGCGGACAAAAGTACCTATTGCATGGAGCCCTGGATTGAGCTAGGGGTCACAGACTAAATAGAGGAAGGTCTTGGATGGTGCAAGCTAAAGACACAAATGGACATGTGTGCAGGCTTAATAAATTTAGGCGAGCAGACGCGTGGGTCAAAGTGTCTGATCAGGTTTAAGACTTGTAAATTTAAGGTTCTAATCACACATGAACGTGCGTGCAGGGACTGTCACTTTCACTGTCTGCCTGTCTCCCCGCCTTTATGTTACCTAGTTTGCCTGTCTGCACAAAGTTCTTTATTCAGATCTTTCTGATGAGGATTGGGTTTTTTTCACCAGCGCATGTTTGCTTACGTGTTTAAAAGGTTATTTCATGGGACGTAAACAAAAGTGTTGGGCGCCTTGTGACAAAACGATCATTTAGATGTCCGTCCGGTAATGGTGTGTGACTAGTATCATTTGCCGTTACTAATAGTGTTGAAGAATTAAATAAACTAATGATATTTGCAGATATATAAAGGACATTATGATGTACCTAGTTGGAGTTGAATGATTAAGGGAGCACTATTACAAAAGGAGACGACGTCTGTAGCTGAGGCGTTGCGCACGCGCTTCATAATGCTGGGGTGCTGGGTCTGATTCTAGCTGCTAGCGGGTTGCGCCTTGCGTTAGTTTCGACAGTGGTATCGAGAAGCTGACCGGCCAGATTGCAAAACTACTGGACGTAAATTTTCATAGAAAAAACCCCACAACAGCCAATGCTGCGGTTGGTTCTGCAATGTCCTGTAAAGGATACGTAATAACTTTAACTAACTCCAGATCTGAAGACAGTGGCTGGAGTTTCTAAAGTGATCGGGGCTGACACATAACAGTTGTATATTTTCCCCAGGGCACGCAGGCGTGCAGGTAATAAGCAAGCTGATCGGTTTGCAGGTAAAGCTACTGTGAAGGGCGGATGAGCCATGGATCTTGCTGATATTCTGAATACTCTTCGAGAAGGAAGACGTTGGTGAGAACAAAGAAATGACGGAGTATCTGCAACAGTGACCAGATTTCAAGACAAGAACAACGGTTTTAAAGGCGTGTGGTCAGAAAAGAGCACTATGCAGGAAGCCAAAGAAGAATGAGAAACCAACACAGAACTGGTGTCGTCAGCCGCTAAACGGTGCAGGATTTACTAAGGCGGGAATCCTAGCACTTATGAACTGTTCGATGTGCAAAGAGGATAATCTATAACATAACTAACACACTAAAATTCTCTCAGCGTGCAGGTTTTAACATCTTCTGTTTTACTTGTTACCTCGCTCACTGGCGAGAGATCACCTTTGTGAGATATCAACTTTGTGAGAGATCACCTTTGTGTGATATCACCTTTGTGAGAGATCACCTTTGTGAGAGATCACCTTTGTGAGAGATCATCTTTGTGAGAGATCATCTTTGTGAGAGATCCCCTTTTTGAGAGATCATCTTTGTGAGAGATCACCTTTGTGAGAGTTCACCTTTGTAAGATCTCATCTTTGTGAGAGATCACCTTGGTGAGAGATCGCCTTTGTGAGAGATCATCTTTGTGAGAGATCACCGTGGTGAGAGATCCCTTTTGTGAGAGATCACCTTTGTGAGAGATCAACTTTGTGAGAGATCATCTTTGTGAGATATCACTTTGTGAGAGATCACCTTTTGCGAATGATTTGCAGCACATCGTCAAGTGGGACCGGTCCAGCCAACCATTCATTCATATAACTCTCGCCTGCTGCGTACTCTGGATCAATGCTACCGATTCCGAAGTGAACCTGCCTCTACCCTACTCAGCATGGTTTGAGAATCTGATACTATGACAATATGACATGCTGAGATTTTTTTTGTCTCTCATCGAAACGCAGCAGTTACGTCTCAACCTCTATTCGCATGCTGAATGTGGTAATGGCGTATGCCAGCTTTCCTAACTTGTCCTTCTCCCGAGTGATTTCGAAATGAAGCCGCGTAAACATTCTGATCCTGACCACTGACCCGTCATTTCATGTAATCACATTTCCTCAACTAGAGTTGTCGTCTGTCATTTGTTGAAAATCAGCGTATTCACGTCCAGCCGCCGATTTGTTGCATTCCTGTCCCAAGACAATTACCACTTCGCGAAGCTCTCCTCTGCCCTCTGTCATCTTTACCTATTCTTCTCTTCTGCGAATATCTTTAACGCTGCTGAGGATGTTGATTGTCTTTTCAGCTTGGACCATCCAAGATCTGCCCCTTAGAGTCCCCCAACCTTCACAGTGTCGTTCCCAGTGAATGATACGCTATCTATCACTGGCATCTCTACGACAGTTCAGTATTGAGATATAGAACAAACGTTATTTAAACGAAACCTTATGATTTAGAATGTTAATATGACACATGTGAGTGTGCAGAAGAAAGCAAGAGTATTTTATTATCTTTGGACACACAAAGAAACACATGATGAGTTAATTGAACTGCAAGAGTTAGCTTGTTATTTCTTGATTTAATACAGTTATTATCTTTATTTTCCACAGTTGAATCAAATTACGACCATACCTTCTGGTAGTATTCCTGCAAATTTAACGGAAATCATTTTGGATGACAACCCAATAATAACCATAAGCAACGATGCCTTTGTTGAATCTGCTGACACTCTACAAACACTTTCCTTCTCGGGTGCTCTTTTTACGGACATTCCAAGAGCACTAACACCGTTGAGAGTCCTGAAATACTTTGGACTTTACAATTCTAAAGTCAGGAACTGGGATGAAGAAGTCATGAAGAGTATCGGGGCAAATCTTGAAAGTCTCACTCTTCAGAACGCTGGAGTTATTTCATCTCTGTCCTGGATTCGGTATTTCCCAAATTTGATGGAGTTAATTATCGAAGGTTGTTCCATTTCTTATCTCCCAGACAATGTTTTAGATAAGCTAACTGATAGGTTGGTAACTGTTTCATTTGCGAGTAACAGTTTAAATGAGATCCCGAGGGATTTTTCCAAACTCACAAATATACAAAAATTAGATTTAGGTAACAACAAAATATCCAATATTACTTGGCTGCCCAGGTCTAAACTAAAGGCGCTGGTTCTAAATAATAATCGAATTAAGGACGCTACACCTCTAAGCAACGTTCTCCGATCTGCCGCAGACTCACTTGAAACTCTAACATTGCAAGTAAACCAGTTGGAATTCATACCAGAATTAGAGTTTTTGAACAATTTATTGAAACTTGATTTAACGTACAATAGAATTTCAGATCCCCATTCTGGGTCAATGCCAGCTAACATGTTCGCACTAGATTTGGGAAACAATCATTTACCTTACATTCCCTGGGCAATGTCTAACTTAACACGCTTACAAGACCTGACTATGATCTCAAACTTTGTTCGAGATATAGAGGCTTCCAATTTCCCCCAAGGTGTCATTTGGGTTCACCTTGGATACAACATTATTACAGAACTCAATGTTGCAGATTTCCCACCAAACTCTACAATACAATACTTACATTTAAACAATAACCCAATTGGGCACATTTCTACGAACGCTTTCGAAAACTTACCTAATGTCAATTTAATCAACTTGGCAGGGACACATATAACCCGCCTGCCTTTAGCTCTAGCCACAGTCAATAGTCTGATAGTTTTTGATGCGACCGACTGCGCGGGTTTGGTGTGTACCTGTCAGGAGAAGCGCTTGGCTTCCTTGTTTATTCCTCTGATGCCTGGCGATATCCATGGCGACTGTGGTGTTACAAGTATCTACGATTTCTTTGCTAACTTTAGCTCGGGTTGTCCGTAACTTCAGCTGTTGATTCCTTTATTAGATAATTACAAGTATATTAAAAAAGGAAATTTTACGAACTACTTGAACAATACACAACCAATACACAAATAAGGCAAGAATCCAGGCAAGAGTATGTGTCTAATTTTATACGAAAACGCCGCTGGAACTATGTCGGCCACGTCCTTAGAATGGATAAATCAAGACTTCCTTACCAAGCCCTCATTTGGACACCACAGGGGAAAAGATCTCGTGGAAGACCAAGGGAAACCCTACGTAGAACTATCATCAGGGAAGGCTCGCTCATGGGCCACTCAAACATCCAAGACCTACAACGGATTGCAACGGACCGCCGTGCATGGAGAGTCACGACCTCTGCCCTATGTGCCGCACTCGACACAAGAGGAAAGACTAACTAACTAACTTGAACAAAACTGGGTAATTTCATTCATAAACAACAACTGACAAGGTTCTGCCAACTATTGAGAATAGATGGTACTATGCCAGGGAGCTTACAGCAAGAAAATGAAAACCATAGAGGCAGGCAAAGAGGTAGACGAAGATTCATTGAAGAATCACAGTTTCCTCACTACACTACACCGTGTTCACTGTCATGCAACAACATTGAGCTAAAGATACGCACATAGCCAATTGCTAGCAAACAGTGTTTACAAATTAATGAAAAGGGGAAGTGGACATGTACGCAAAATATCATGGATAACACCCGAAACACTTAAGAAAATTAAAGAAAGGTAAACAACTTAAAGAAAAAAAAAAGGATCTAAACAGAAAACAAGGAACGTGATGGCTGAAGCAAAAGTAAATACGCATGTTGTCCCTGTATATCCTATGTATCTGATCTCTACACTGTAGACAAGAGTCACACCACAACCTTCGCAGAGGTCTGTGACCTTCTAATCTGAAAAAAAAAAAAAAAAAAAAAAATAAAAACAGGAGGACTTCTGTCCCAATACAGAGTGTAGTCTTGGCTAATGTTTAGCTCTGAAGTTATTTTTGCTTCTTACAGCGCTTTGTTAATGCAGTTTCCACATATGGGCGGAAGTCAAGGGTTTTGCAGCCTTAGCTACTTTATTTAGTTTTTGGCGCAACACCGTGACTTGTATTTTTTACGCGGAATGCCTACATTTGTGTAGCGGATGTGCCATGGAATTCACTCTGGGTGGTTAGCCGTATTACGTGTGGGCTGGCGAAATACCTCATGTAATAACTGTGAATGTGCATGATCAACTTGTCGTGACCGACTACTTCCATCAATGACAAACTGCAATTCTGGTCGCAAATGTTGAGACAGTACCGATGTCAGAAAAACCGGTTAATTGTGATGTCGATCCTGTCACAATTAAAGTGTTGTCTTTTTTTTCAGTTTTCATTAAATAATTTTGCATTTTAACACATGGTAACGTCCAACACTAGTATTGAAACAGCTCTAGCTTCCAATAGCACCACTTCTTAATATACAAATTCCTGGTAGGTCAAGTATTAAACATAGACATTCTATCTCTGTTGTATGTTTATAGGTACTTTACGATTTGTCATTTTTGAAACATGTGACGGTATACACTTACTTACATCGGACACAGTGGACTTAATAGTAAGAAGAATTCGTAAATACTTGTCCGTCCACAATCACCTAGAACAGTACCAGGCTGCAGTTGTGTGACCCATGACCCTAAGCCCTTCTCTAAACATGTACACACGAGCCCAGGATTATTTGTGAAGTCCACAAATCTAACACTCTTCAAGGAAGACAAGGCCAGGGGCAGGCGGGTCAGTTTTGTCGCTTGTAGGTTCAGCTCCATGAGGCGTGGTAGGTTGGACAAAGCCAGGCTTGAGATGACTACAACTGGGTTGCCATTCAGTTGTAGCGTTGCTATGTTTGAATCTGGCGGGAAACTGTTGTCTTGAAGCTCTGTGATCAGATTGTATCTCAGATCAACTCCTGTTATTGTTTTGGAAAAATCTGTATCTTTAATCCGAGTTACTGCATTCCAGGACAGAAGCATCTCGAATATATTGTTCAACGTTTTCAGAAAAAGCGGAATATAACGCAGACTATTGTGTGACAAGTCTAACGTATTTATAGACGATGGTACAGAACCAGTATCAGATTCCGACATCCGATTACTAGAAAAATCTAGATCTTCGACTTTTGTCAAAAAAGAAATATTGGGAAAAGATGTCAACTGGTTGCCGTGTAAATCTAATTCATTCAACGTGTCTCCGTAGTTCCGTAATGCATAGCTAAGCTCGTTCGCATCGCTTAAACTATTATTATTTAAAAATAAGGACAACAAGTTAGCAGTCTGCGGAAGCCATGTCACGTTTCTGATAATGTTACCCTGTATTCTGAGATTTCCTAAAGATTTCAGATTGGACACAGCTTTCGGCACGGCAGTCAGGCGATTGTTAAACAGAATTAGGGTTGTCAAACTGTTTGCCAGTTTATCAAAGGCATCATCAGGAATAGAAGAAATTGAATTTCCGCTCAAACTTAACTCTGTGAGGTTCTCAAAATATTTTATCCATTCCGGCCAGATCTTCAGTCCAACATAGTCAAGATCAAGAGTCTGTAGGCTTTTACTTAAAGCTTGCATGGCTGGTTCGTTCCAATCTTGAATGGGTGTGTCAGCTATGCTGAGAAATTTCAGTGCCTTTAAATGTGAGAATGCGTCTGGAATTCGAGTCAAACGAGCTTCAGATAAATACATGGCCTGCAAAGAAGTCGCCGAAGCGTCAAAAGCAGTGTCATCAATCACAAGTAGTGGGTTTTCCAAGAAAAACAGATCGTTGATACCCGGAGGGAGACTGCCAGCTGGTATATGCGTTATGTTATTTGTCTGAAAGAAAAAAAACACACGAAACAGATTGTTGTAATTTTTTATCATTTAAAATAATGTTAGTATTAATTAATCTTATTTTGACAAAGCTTTTAAGACAGCAGAGTGATTCATTTACTATCTTCCTGTTTTATACCTCACTTGTTTTTCTACATAAAGATAAGTCCCGGACCAAGAAGAATTAGACACAGATAAAACAGCAGCACTAGCAGAATAGTAATAATAAGATATAAACGAAGAAGAAAATCAAGAATAACAGAAGAAAAAGTTGAACAAGACCACCAAATACTAACACAAGAAAAAAGAATTAAAAAAAAAAAAGTCGAAAAAAAAGACAAAGAGAAAAACTATAATAAAATGCAAACAATAGTTGACCTGAAACGGGTGTCAATATCCGCCATCACAGCATTTGTGACATTCCCATAAGTGCTCAGTCCACATCTTCAGCAGCCAGGAAAGAGCTCTAATTCAGATGGTATCATTTGATGGTAACAGTGACAATCCAGTTATATGTTCGTCTTGCCGCTCCTCTGAGTGTGGAATGTCAGTCAGTTCTCCTGGTCACTCCTTGTTGCACCAGTGTCTTCTTATTTTGTATTCTCACTGATACCAGTCTGTAGCCCAGTGTCGTGGTTTTGTCGTCTTACTGATACCACTCTGTAGCTCGTTGTCGTTGTTTTGTCGTTTCACTGATACTAGTTTGCAGCCCAGCGTCGTGGTTATGAGGGCTCACTGATACCAGGTTGTAGCCCAGCGTCGTGGTTTTGTCGTCTCACTGATACCAGACTGTAGCCCAGTGTCGTTGTTTTTTCATCTTACTGACACCAGGTTGTAGCCCGCTGTCGTGGTTTTGTCGTCTCACTGATACCATGCTGTAGCCCAACGTCGTGGTTAAATCAGCTCGCTGATACCAGGCTGTAGCCCAACGTCGTGGTTATGTCGGCTCGCTGATACCAGGCTTAAGCCCAACGTCGTGGTTTTGTCGTCTCACTGATACCATGCTGTAGCCCAACGTCGTGGTTATGTCGGCTCGCTGATACCAGGCTGTAGCCCAGCGTCGTGGTTTTGTCGTCTTACTGATACCAGACTTAAGCCCAGTGTCGTGGTTTCTTACTGATACCAGGCTGTAGCCTGTTGTCGTGGTTTTGTCGTCTCACTGATACTAGGTTTTAGCCCAGTGTCGTGGTTTTGTCGTCTCACTGATACCATGCTGTAGCCCACCGTCGTGGTTATGTCGTCTCACTTATACCAGGCTATAGCCCAGCGTCGTGGTTTTCTGTATTTTTCAGCGTCTCTCAGGTGGTTTGTGTGATGCATTTTTTAAAATCTGTTTTGCAGGTTTCTGATACACCACTTATCTAAATCGTTTTTGGTCTTCCTCTCGCCTTCCCCTTAGATATTACGCTGTAAAAAAGTATTATATGAAGTTTGGTCTGGCTGCATTCTCACCTAATAGCTGAACCATTTCATTCTTTGTCTGTCAATATAATTGTGTCATGGTCCTTTTCTGGCTTTCTCTCTAATGCTGATATTTGTAAATCTGTCTCGTTTAGTACTGTTAATGACCTTGCGGAGACAGCGCATTTCACATGTAGTTGTTTTCTGTTCTTGTGCCCTATTCACTATCTAACCAGTGACTTCAGACCGTAATAATCTAAGTAGTGGATGAAGAGGAAAACAAAACAACATAGAGGAAGGTGTCAACAAACATCTTCTGCACAGTATTACTCACAGAAAAAGCTACAAACGGAAAGCTACCATTCAGTGCACCAATGATTGGTGGAATACTAGTGAAACCTCGATCTTGACAGAATACGGCTGTGTCAGCGCACTGACATCCCTGCAATTAAGGAATGGATATGTGAGGACAAACTTAGAATAAAAAAATCGTGTTTACTTAATTTAACAGAGCAATACAATTATGTGCCAGGGATCAGGGCTTCTGAAATTCTTCAAGAAATATTGACACACACACATATATAAATATATATATATATATATATATATATATATATATATATATATATATATATATATATATATATATATATATATATATATATTAGCTGTACCCGGCCACGCGTTGCTGTGGCATAGTTTGGCTAAATGGAAATGAAAGAAAATAGAAATCGCACGTGTCTAATACAATCATTGTCTGCT